GAGAAGGTAATGTTATTGTCTACCTGGTGTCATGCTTAACTTTACTGGCAATTGTATTACTAAGAGGTAATTTATTTTGAAAACTGAATGCTATGTTCTGTGTTTCATTTGTGGCAGTATCCTTTGTCTTTAAATATTAATGCAACAGAAATGCTAATGAAAGAGTTCCCTACAAAGAAACGATCCCGAGTATGTGATCAAAACGGTAGTATGCCTATTTAGACCGTCCGTTTCATGGTTGGAGCTGGTGTAAGATAACCTGGGGGTACTAAGTTGAAAGGTCAGATTATTTGGGGTCCTCTTTGTGGAACATACTTAAATGGTGTTACTTCACATGACATACAGTTAGTTTAGGTTGTCCCATCTATGATCCACTGGTCCATTTATTTACAGTTCCCTTATCAATTATCATATGTTTGGAAGATTTGATAAATGTTAGCCCCCTCAACTACCAATGGTTCTCTTCAAGATGTTTGAGATTTTTCTAGATATTTGAATCCTTTGGTGCCTCTGATTTTTCCAAATAGGTGGAAAGAAGCACAAATTTGATCCAATAGGTGGAACGGTATTTTGATTCATTTCTAATACATTATGGGTATTGTTTATCCAATAGGGGGGAAGGACAGAATTGATCTAATAGATGGGAGGAGGGCAGTTTTTTTAGCCATTTCTAATGTTACGTTAAGGGTATTTTTAACCCTTTTCTGTTTTTTGTTTTTTTTTTTGGTGGCGGTGGGGTTCCATCGTAGTACTTAGTGTACTCTAGCTCTGCATAATGCTGTCTCAATTCGACTATTCTGATGGATTAGCAATCATTACTTTGCAGAACGACATTACCTGGCTCGAGGACAACTGGTACAATGAAGAGAGTAGATTCCTTGCATTTATGTAAGAATAAGCCCTATTAATAACTGGCAATAATCTCCATCTTATCATCTCTGATTCTAAATCATGAATTCACTCACACACTACAATCAGTCCTCTTTTTAAGCAAGTTTTTGTACGGATTGCCGCTATTTTGGGGGTGGTCTTTAAATTTTGCCCCTACTGCTCATTCAATGAAAATTTGTTGTCCAAAGTACCCTTAACTATGACTTAATTTCTCTGGGAAAACCTTTTTAGATAATGTTTTTCTTAGGGAATCAGCTCAGTGCTATCAAAAGCTTTATGCTTAATTTGTTTTAAAAAATTTCGTTAGGCATAGGTTATGCCCTATCAGGCACAAGTTCACACTACTGAACTTATGCCCCAAGAAATAAGTTCGTGTATGAACCTCTTAAGGCATAATGTTTTAAAACCAAACTTATATCCCAAGGCACAAGTTAAGATGCCATACAAGGCATTAGTACAATTTTAAAACTTAAAGTTTTACTAGACATAAGTTTAGTGTTTGAACTTTATGCCTTAAGAAGACATACTACTGAACTTGTACCCCAAGGCATAGGCATAAGTTATGCCTAAGGCAAAATAAATTTGCAAGGCACGGGTTATACTTATATGGTGTATGTTTAGTGTATGGACTTCTTAATGTATAATGTTCTAAAAATGAACGTATGTCTTATAGGGCATAACCTGTGCCTAGCGAATTTTTATTGTTAGGGGTATTTTCGTCTGCACTTTAATTACTTAAGTGTTGAAGGGAAGATACTAAAAAGCCACAAATTTGAGTGAAAGAAGTTTAAGACCACCCAAAATATGGGCATTCCTGTGAATGATCCTTTTTAAAGCTGTTTTCATATGGTCTGTTTCTTTTACACGGAGTTTTTTCTTGTTTTTCTTCTATCCTTTAAATTTCAGTTGCAACTGTGTTCTTGATTTTAATTTGTCAACCAAAATTTTAATGTGACAAGTTCAAAGTTTAGGAGCTTTTCTTTTCGCATGAGTGAATTTGCATATTGGATTCTCTTTTGTACAATGTAGGCTCCATGATGGGAATGGAGGAGATATTTACTTGGCATTTAATGCACACCACTTCTCCATCAAAACAGCAATACCTTCACCACCACGAAATAGAAATTGGTACCGAGTGGTAAGTTATTCTTATTATTTTTTATTATTATTATTATTTTATTTTTATTTTTAAAAAAAAAACCAATTACCCCTCCCTAGGAGCTCCCACCTTCTTGTCCTATTCTTATTAGTTAAGGAATGCACTTTGCATATACATCCAAAACATGAGATAGCCTCTGAATTTTGCTCCAGCTCTGATATGTTTGGTTATTCTTTCTTGTATTTTGGATTTGTTCCTACTGATTTCGAAATTATAGGTCGAAGACAGAAAGTGTTGTATTATATCCTCATGTTCCAATCATATTTCACATTGAACACCCTATTAATTTTGTCCCAATTGGAGACAACTCTTGCTCTTTCCAAAATGTGAACTATCCATCGTGATCATGATACTGAATGTCTGAATTAGATCTAAGTTTTTCCTGAGTTTGTGAATAGAGTAGTCGAGTACTATGGATACACATATTTCCTTTTTCCTGTATAACTTTATAGTAGAATATCATTAAAAAATGTGAAAAGTTAACGCAAACAATTTATAGATAGCATACGTAGCATGTGAAGATTAATCAGTCATGGCTGTGGTACCAGGATGATGTTAATATGGATACTAGGGTTATGCTTATGTGGGATGTTGTATTATAGTGTTTTTGAATTATAGGAAGATTTTGATAAGTAGGGGCAAAGCTACCATTTGGATATTAGATTGTAGTTTTGCTTATGTTAGTTTTCTCATCAGAAGAATACATCAAGTAGTGATTGTAACAATAATAAATAAAGGGCGTATATGGCATGTAGCCTTCACCGAACAATACTGAATAAATAAATATACTAACCACCTTATTGTGTTATCAGAAGAATACAGCAAGAAGCTATCATAATAGATAAAGGGTTTGCTCATTCACAGTGTTCCCAAACTAGTGTGGCAGTAAGGGTGTGGAGTATACATCACTACATCACTTATAAAAGAAATAAACAGACTAACCATCTTATCCTTTCTTCTCCCTAAATTTTCAGTTTCTTGTTAAATATACAATGATTATCGTGTTACTGTTTAAATTTTTTGACATAATCATCTCCTTTTAAGAATGTGTTTGATAAACAGGATATTTCTCATCAGAAAATACAAAATCATGATAAAGAACATAAGAAACAGCGTTTACTGCATTTTACCTTGAACAAATAGGAAACTGATAAACGGTCTATAATGTGATATCGGTGCTTCATAGAGTTTCATTTCTCCAAATATACAAAATGACAGCCATTTTCACCTATCTTCACATGATCTTCTTTTAATTCTACTTTATTTTGTGCAGTCTGTTGTCAGTTCCAATATTTAATGAAGTTAATTTGCATGTCTGTTCTGTATAGCTATTTGTTTTGGTATTGTCTTGATATTTATTTACCGTCTCAAGTAGTACTGAAGCTGAAAAAGTCACCTCCTCAAATTTTGTACAAACTGATAATTTTAATTGCAGGTGGACACTAATCTGAAATCACCAGATGATTTTGTTACTGAGGGAGTGTCTGGTATCAGTGAAACTTATGATGTTGCGCCGTACTCTGCTATCCTTCTTGAAGCAAAGCAATAATTACCGGGACTATGCTGCTTTAGATGTTGTCCATGAGTTATTACAGTATTACCTCCTTCTGGATTGGATAGTTCAAATCGGAATTCAGGCTGTTAGCCTATAGATGTAGTATTTTGCAATAAGCAACCAGTTTGTTCAAGGTCCAGGTTGTTTGAGACGGGTAAACTTGGTCTCGAATACGAAAGACTAGCCAAAACTATATACAGATGGAGATGAGTCAAATTATAATGTCATTAGCTCACCCTCAATCTCCAAATGACCCTGCTGCAGAACACAAATTAACGCTATTGGTTGGCGTTGAATTTCATTAGGAAAACGGATGTTGAGTGTAGCATGAGTACCAAAACAACAGGTACCTAGTAGGCATCATAGGTCGATTGAACTTGGAAAGTAAATACACAATGCAAAACGAGATGAAAGCAGTAACTAAGAGTCAGAAGAAAGGAACAATAACGATAAGCCTAACCATGCACCATCAGTAATATAACACGAAGCGGAGAGAGAAATGAAGCAGTTAACTACAACCTAATTGGACTCCCAAAAGCCTAGAAGATACATTCATGCGCAATTAAAAGGTAAATAACTCAGACATGAATTAGACGATTTTCAAAGAATTTTCGAGTCAAACGGCTCCAAATAGCAATTCTATGACAAAAACTAGTATATGTCTAGACTAATGTCAAGAATCAATTCAATAGGCATAAAGCTGAACATGGCATAATACGCATCACAGACAAGGTAAAACATGTTATTTCCTTCGAAACTACCTGAAAATGAAAGTTATAGTTGATGAATGTTTTGATGATATGATTTTTGGATACATTTTTTCAAAATCTTTTTAGGACCCTCCGTAATGACTAGAGGGGCAATACGTATAGCCTCGTCATAATTCACGCCATCTTTTTTTCATTTAGGGGCCACTCAACAGGAATTAGACGATTTTCTAAAAATTGTCTAATTCCTTGAGTGGCCCTTAAATGCTAAAAAAAATGGCGTGGATAATGGTGATGCTATAGGTATTGTTCCCACATGTCATTACAGAGGATCTTGTAAAGGTTTTGAAAAAAAAAGTGTCTGAAAGTCATATCACAGAAAAAATCATGGACCAACACATGGAAAAAACTGAGAAAATCAGCTAATTCCTGTTGAGTGGCCCCTAAATGTTAAAAAAATGACGTAGATCGTATGGTGAGGCTATCGGTATTGTTATAGAGGGTCCAGTAATGTTAGATCAGTGACATTGAAACATAACAACAAAAGTAATGTAGAGATCAGTGACAGAAGAAGATTACTAATTTATGGCATGATTTGTTCCTTTATTGTACAGACAACACAACACTGTATATATCTTAAAGAATACAAAATTGATATATTATGTACATACAGTACTCTTCCTGTATATCATCCTCCATTGTGTTGTTGCACAACTAATATTGTGGAGTTACTTTGTGAATCTGCTAAAGCAAACATGTCTCCTACAGGGCCTAATTCAGACTCTTCAACCCAATCAGAAAGACCAAGTAATAGAGGAGATTGTGAGTCATGACGTCTCCCAACAATGATTAGTTCGTATTCATCTTCCATGGATCGCATTACAGCAGCTGTACCTGTTCCATCTCTTATCAACTTCTCCACATACTTGACACGATAATTTCCTGCCATATCGCTCCTTGCTTCACTTAACATTTCATTGTCCATCATCTTCTGTATCGTCTCATAATCGCTACTACTTGTGTTGTTATTGCTGTAATTACCACTTTCATGAAGGAGTACTAACCGCACTATTGTCAGGCTAATGTTTTGTTTACCAGCCATACGCTCACCCAGAGCTAGTGCTTCCCTATCATCTGGTCCTCCCAAGAAAAGTACACCAACACGGTACAATGACCACGCGTCTAGTATTGGCCTTGATGTGTTGACAAGTGACCTGTCTACAATTATTGCAACTGAACAAGGTGTTGTCTGAAGGATCTTGTCATTCATAGTCTTAATCCCCATCTTCGATGCCCTCTTCTGATTCACGGAAGAAGAAGTACTACTTGTTAACCTCTTGTGGAAAGGAATCATTACGAGAGATGCCCTCCTTTCAAGCGCCATTGTGCAAACTTCATCATGCATCATTACATAAGGAGATATAGCTGTAAAAGGATGCATGGTTACTGTCTCACAGAAGTTCTTCTCAAACACTTTAAAAGCATTGATGATTCTTTTTGAAGCTGATGCCTCGTTTGTGTGCTTCATCATTAATGGGAGTTTGTGGTTTATGAGAAGAGGATGTGCACGACCAACCATCTCTATTAAATGAAGCATCGCGATATCCATATGGCTTTGATTTGACGGGTGAAGTGCTTCCAACAAGTTTATTGTGGAAGGAACATTTTCTTGATCATGTATACATGTAAGCACCCGAAGCTCAGAGTGGGGCTTCATATGCTGGATATTCTTGTTCTTGTGTGCTGCATATCTTTTATGTGGATCATACAGGGACTTCAGTATCGGTGTCACGATTGCTGTTGCAATTAACAGGGATATGCACAACACAACAAAAGCTTCATCCGCTATTGCCTGTACGTTCCATGAAAATGATTATGAGCTGCCTAGGCCATAACGATCGAGTTAAAGAGAATCAGGTAAACAGATTGATTGATTATTAATTACCTCATTTTGCTTCATCATTTTAAACATGCCTAGCTCTAGAACACCTTGAACATTGGATACGAGGCCAATTGAGATTGCATCTCGGAGGGAAACTTGGTTGTAGATTGAAGAGATAAGTGCTCCAAGGAATTTCCCCAAACAAGCAACGAGAATAATCGATTGCAGAACCAAATAATTCTTCAGTTTGACAGAAAATATGTCAGTAACCAAACCTGTTTTGACAAAGTAGATGGGCATAAAGAGCCATGAAACAATGAATTGAAGCTTCTCGACGAGGGCAGAGCCTAGTGGTGGTCCAGCAGGTATGGCTAGACCGTAAACTAGTGGCCCGTAGAAGAGGTTTAGTCCTAAAGCCTTGCTGCAAAATCCAGAAAGCAAGACCCCAATAAATACCATACAAATGAAACTTTGTTTCAATGGCTCTCCTGATGGATTTCTTCGCGTGCTCCATATGATTAGAGGTCTCACAACAAGAAATACAAACATGGTAAAGCCTATACCAGAAGTAATACTTTGTAGAAACATGAATTTCTCGACGGATGGTTGACTTGAGAGGCTGGTGATAGCTATGATTAAAAACCCAAACATGTTACTAACAAGTGAACAAGAGAGTGCCATCCTTCCAAAATCAGAATTGACCATCCTAAGCTCGGTGAGATAGTGGGCGATGACTGGGAATCCGAGTACAGAAGACATGGTAGCTACTACAGGGAGTGATTCAGCTACTAATGGATCAATATGTATATGAAAAGTGATGAGAATAAAAGAGGTACTAATGCTTAGCACAAGAGCAGTTGCTACAGTTGATACACCAATGATGAACTCTTTCTTCTCAACTCTCTTGAGAATCCAAGGATCTATTTGCACTCCAATCAAGAAGAAGAAGAACATATAACCAAATAATGCAACAGCATCGATAACTACCAGACTTCTGTAAGGATAGAAAAGTTGTATGAATCCATCAATTCGTCCTAGAAAGGACGGACCTAGTAGTAAGCCACCCTGCATACATGCATCATTTTTTTCGATTAATTAATTACATTTACAACAACAAAAAAATGAAGATAATATAGATATATATACTTACAAAAATTTGAATGACATTAGATGGTTGACCGAGGGGTTTGAAGACGGTAGAAGTGAAAAGAATGAAGAGGGAAGCCAAGGAGAGCTGAGAGAGTAGGAGAGGAACAGAGTAATCTAATGGGTTCGCGTTATGGAATAAGATGGAACCTTTGGATTGAATTTTGCCAATTGACATGCAAATTGATGAATCATTTTGTCCATGTCTAAATATTTTAGCATACGTTGCTAAGTCATCTGGTTCCATCATGTGTGAACCCATTTCAACATCCCTCGTCCCCGCCCCCCGCCACCTTAATTCCTCTCTCTCTTAAAAATTATATACTTCCTCCCCTTCTTCCTCATTTGAGGAAGAAAGGAAGAGATTTTAGTTAGAGAATAGAGAAAAGAAAGAAATCATGTTGATGGTCAATATGGAATCAATCTCCTTTTTTTTCGCTATATTAATTAATTATTCGGGTTTTTAAAAATAGCTTTTCACAATATCCTAGTAATTTTCCAATCATACATTTCACACGAGTAAAAAGAAAGCAATTAGTAAAAATAAGTGACTTCTCAAAATAGTTATTATACATCATAATTTACTACATAAGCACTGTTCAAAAATTGACTCCATACGTAACCATTTTCAAACAAGTTTCACACTTTATGAATGTTTTTTGTGTGTATTAGTACATGTTGATTTTTCTGAATTTGGTTGACTGACTGTGATTGGTTTGAAATCTGATCTGGAAACGACCAAGTGACCAATACTCACCAAGACAAACTTCAGTTTTTTTGGCATTGGGATCATGAAAAATGAATTCATGATTAGTATGTGTTGTTTGGAGGAAAAAGAATTATTTGAATATCATAAAAAAATCAACACTAAAATGTTTATGCAACTCATTTCTGTGCATAATCTACCCATAAATCAGATAATATGCCCATGTGTATAAATTATAATACACATAATGTATGTACATGTTAATTAACAAGCAACAGCTATTCTGGGAGATGGAAATGCTTTACACGAACATAGATAACTACAATTCTAAGAAGATCTGGAAATGACAAGAGAAGAAGGATCAATTTCTTTTCCCGTTAACCATGAGAGACTGAAATGGTACTCTCTTAATTTCAATGAAGGTTGAATATTCCTTGCTAATTGGTTGTTTCCATGGCTCACCGTCCATCTGCATATAAGCTTCATCCCACTCTCCTGCACGCAACTCAAATCGAATTGCTGAAGCCTACAAAGCAGCAAAAGAAGTGTCTCATTCCATCAAGTCCACCAAAAAGATGAGAAATACGCATATAATATAAGCATATGACATTCTGCACGCGCACAAGAGAGAGAACAAATCCACACATGTTAACTATAGTTTTGTTGTATCTCTTTATAATGCATGACCACATTCCCTATTACAACCTCATGTTGGTGAATGGCTTTCCTCCATTTTCTTTGAGATTTCCTCAAAAAAAAATAAAAATGAATATCTATGCAAGCCAAATTTATGTCACAAAGCTCTATTTTATCCTCCGAAAATGCAGTTCCACTATTGCATATAAATCCTTCAAGATACTACCTATTAAAACTGGAAGTATCTGTGTTGGATGTGTTCTAGTGAATGTACTTCCTCAAAGTCCATATAACATCAAACCAGATATGCTCCAGCGAAGCCAAAGCAGCTCTCTTTCAATTCTACTACCTCTTTGGAAGGGGATCGCATTAGGATGTATTAACAATTTATTGTCCATAATGAGGACAACTGGTTTATCAACCCTAATATATAACGAGAGCATCATACAGATGCCTGAAAGACCATTATCAGGTGTCTGTAGATATCCTTGCCCGATGCAAGGGCCTAACCTTAGACAGACGATGGAGAAAAACTTAGCTGGAGTTAGTACAGCAAGAGGAATTGCCTGTGATATAGTAGATAACCCTTTCCCCCTTTGTTTTTCGTTGGAAAGTCTGAGAAGCAATGCATGTAATGATTTCCATGATCATTTTTTTAAGGTTATGATTACCATGATCAAAATGTAATAGAGAGGACACATCAGGGATTAACACGTATACATCTAAATGTATTGCCTCTAAGCTGCACTAATTCTTTTTTACCAGATCTTGATAAATACCTGGGCAATGTGTTTTGCAGAAATGAGCTCAACCATAACCATAGAGGCATGCCATCCTTGTTTCAGGCCAAAAATTTCAATGCAACCATCATCTGCATGGGCTTCCACAAAACCCCTCTACAATTTCATAGGAAAACAAAAGGAATTCGTAGTTAATTTTGATGATGTATAACAGTTGATAAAATGTTCTGAGTTGGCTTTTCAACTTCAGATCAGATGTGAAGTGGCTACAACTTCCAATCGTTATCCTGAAGTTAATTGCGACCACATACTAGGTACTGATAAAGTTTGAAAAATGGAGGATATGTATTAAACTGCACTAACACATCAATTAAACTTTGTAAGGTTTAAAAATTACAAGTTGCAAAAACTTTGGGAAAAAATACCACTAGGGACTTCGGGGTTTTTGCTCAAATCATTTGTTGCTAGTAGAGGAACCACACAATATGCAGAACCTAAAACTTGAAGTGACTAGAAGCTCAATCTCTTTCTCTGATTACAGACAATACAATAAGTGGGACCTAAAACATTAAGTTATCTAGAAGCTGAAAACAGTTTTTCTGAATACGGACCAAATTCAGAATTTTTGAAAACTGAAATTTTGTACAAAGATATTTGTCTGACAGCTTAAGCAGAACAGCTAATACATTCTATTTGAACTGTTCAGCAAATTCAACTAAATAACCCTAGTTTATCATTGGTTTCAGAAATGACTAATTTACTTTGAAGAAAAAAGAATAATTCAGGAAGTATTCATTAATTATACACCAAAGCCACTGAAGTCCTTCACAGCTAACACAAAAGAATACCTTCTCCAAGTACTCTGGCTTCAAACGTCCCCATGGATTCCTTCCACCTCCATAGCTAGGGAGATTCAGAGTGACTATTGACCGAACACTACAAAAAAGACAAAACAGGAAAATGAATGCACAAGTAAAAAAAAACATTTAAAGCCAGTGTATTAGCATTGTATTTCATATTACAGAACAATATAATTGACTATTTAACAAATAATTAAAACAAAACAACATACTTGGTGTAATACCATAAGTGGGGTTTGGGGAGGGTGGCGTGCATGTAGTCTTACCCTACCTTGCAAAGGTAGAGAAACTGTTTCAAATAGACTCCTCAGCTCAAGTAAAACATTTCAAAAAAACAAGTGTGAAGCAAATACAGTAGCAAGGAAGTCAAGCTGAAAACCATAAAAAAGATGACAAAAATAACAACAAATAATACAATAACTGAAGCAAAGGAAATATCATGTAATACTAACATCGGCGAATAAGCTAGTAAGATAGTAACAATAACAATACGGGGAAGGGAACTAGACAATGATTGACTACCTATTAACTTTCAACTCTAATCCTCGACTTTCATATCTTCCTATCAAGGGTCATGTCCTCGATAAGTTGCAAGTATATCATATTCTGTCTAATCACCTTTCCCTTGACTTCTTCGACCTACCTCTACCTATTCTAATACCCACTAGCCAACCTCTCACACCTCTTCAATAGAGAATATGTGCATCTTCTCTTCACATGCCCAAACCATCTCAGTTTCGTCTCCCTCATCTTGTCCACTACGAAAATCACTCCCACCTTATCCCAGATAACTTAGTTCCTAATCCCATCTCTCTTAATATATCCACACATTCATCTCAACTCATTTCATCTACACTCATCTTTTGGACGTGCGAGTTTTTAACCAGCCAATACTCCATCTCATACAACACAGATTGTCTGACCACCACTTTATAAAACTTACCTTTAAGGCTTGGTGGCACATACTTATCACACAAGACGCCGGATGCAAACTTTCATTTTATCCACCCCATTCCAATACGACATGTAATATCATCGTCAATCTCCCAATTTTCTTGGATTATTCAAAACTTCCTTTGTTGGAGATGACTTGAGTATCAATCCTTACTTCCACATCAGCCACTAAGTTACATCACTGAACTTGCATTCCAAGTATTCTATCTTAGTCCTACTCAACTTGAACCTTTGACTCCAAGGTTTGTCTCCGAACCTCCAACCTGTCGTTAACTTTGCCGTGTGTCTCTTCAATCAAATCTATGTCATCTCCGCATACACAATGGCACCTCTTCTTGGATATGTCGTGTCAATTCATCCATCGGAAATGCAAACAGAAACGGGCTAAGAGTCGTTCCCTGGTGCAATCCCATCATGACTAGGAAGTGCTCCGAGTCTCCCTACATTGTTCTCGCTCTGGTCTTGCCTCCATCGTACATGTCCTTAATTGTCTTAATGTACGCCATAGGTACACCTTTAGCCTCCAAACATCTCCATAGATCCTTTGACATGAGCTTTTTTTATGTCAATGAAAACCATATGTAAGTCCTTCTTCTCCCTATATTGATACATCAATCTCCTAATGATATGTATGACTTCTATAGTCGACCGCCCCGGCATGAACCCAAATTTGTTCTCCGTGATAGACACACCCCTATTCATCCTCATCTCCAACACCCTCTCATAAATTTTAATATTGTGGCTTAGCAGTTTGATACCCATATAGTTGTCAAATAATAAGAACAACGAGACATATATAATAGTTAGTTATCCAAGAGATTCTGCATTACATGACAGACATAAAATACAACACTGTAATAAATATTCCAGGACAAAAATCAACCTTGAGGGAACAGAGATTTGCTCCCACTTTGAGCTGTTGACCTTCTTAACATACAGTCGCAAAATATTATTCAATCCCCTGCCATCAATAAAAGTAAGCACTGAATCTTTAAAAAAAAATATCAGAGATGAAAAGCATGATTGGGTACAACTTCAAAAATAATATCCAAGTTTATGTGTTGGAAGGAATAGGAGGGGACAAATTATACATTATTTTTTCAACAGATTATACATCACCATACATGATAAATACTGCCAGACTAATGCTGAGTTATCAATATACAGAGGGGAATATCAATTTTAAGAGAACTCCAGTAAGTGCTGCACGTCCCCTTTCCTTGAGATAGATGTGAAAACTTTTGGCGTCCTTGTTAATTAATCTAATACTACAATCAAATAGTATCAGTCACACCTTTTATTTTCAAGCCTAAGAATATATGATGTCCTGCATGCAAGGGCATACATACTGTGAATACTAGCTTTTGAAAGCAATACATGATATACTGGACAAGAGAGGATGAAACAC